CTGCTAGGTACATGCTCGGTACCGGGCAGAAGTGCGGCAGCAGCGGGCAGCGGGCGGGGGCAGCGGGCGGGGGTAGGAAAATTCAATTTTTTTTAAAATAAACGGGTATTCGGGTTGACCCGGCAACCCGTCGGGTCAACCCGAACCCGACCCGTTTTTGCAAACGGGTCGGTTTTTCGGACCCGAACCCAACCCGCTTCGGGTTCGGGTCAACCCAAACCCGAAAATTCCGGGTCGGGTTCGGATCGGGTTTTCGGGTCGGGTCCAATATTGACAGGTCTACACTCAGTATCTTTCCATACAAACAACTTATGAACTTTAAAATCAAGCAGAACTTCAAAATTACTCTTATAATAAAATTTTGTAAGGTCGACCCCGCTAGGGGGCAGCGCCCACTTGGACCCCTGACAGACCGGTTTATTGTTGTATTAATGTTGTCTTATTATTGTGATATTTTGATTTCACTTCATATTAATTTAATTTGATGTATTCATATGTATGATTGATTTGTTAGCAAAATGAGCTCTGCTGCTGATAGGAGTGGATCAGGTGAAGGTTCAAAAGAGCCATCTGTAGAAACTGATAAACTATTATGAATTCATGTTACAAAGTTAGAAAAAATATTTGAAGGAGGGAATGTGTCATTCAAATGCATTTATTGTGGTGACACCTACAAAGGATCTTATTTTAGGGTGAAGGCACATCTACTTAAAATTTCTGGCCATGGAATAAAAATGTGTCCTAAGATTACTACGTCGCAGTTGATTGAATTGAACAGACAAGTTGATGAAGCTGAATCTAGGATCCAAAGGACACTCCGTAAAGAGATACCTTTGCCAACTACTCATGGCTCATCCCACACTTCTTCCTCATCTGTGAGAGTTGATCAAGCTTTATCATTTAGAAATGAAGGATATGAAACAAAGAAAAGGAGTAGCCAGTAGTCCTCTAGAGAAGGCTTTTAATTTGCAGCAGCGAGATGAATTGGATGGTGAAATAGCAATGATGTTTTTTTCAGCGGGACTTCCTTTCAACCTTGTAAGGAATTCTCATTATAAAAATGCATTCATTTTTACATGTAACAACAACCTCGCAGGATATGTTCCACTTGGTTACAATGCATTAATATCGAAATTATTGGAAAGAGAAAGAGAACATATTGAGACATTGCTTGAACCAACAAAAGGTGTGTGAAAAAAAAGGTGTTAGTTTGGTTTGTGATGGTTGGACAGATCCTCAAAGAAGACCTCATTAATTTCATGTCTGTTACAGAGAATTACCCAATTTTCATTAAAGCAGTGAATTATGAAGGAGAATACAAGGATAAATATTTTATTGCCAATTTGATTAAAGAGGTGATAGTCATGATTGGGCCTTCAAATATTGTGCAAGTTATTACAGATAATGCACCGATGTATAGAGCTGCATGATTATTGGTGGAGCAAACTTATCCCCATATATTTTGGACACCCTGTATTGTGCACACTTTAAATCTTGCTCTAAAAAATATTTGTGCAGCAAATAATACAAAGGCTAATGAAATCATCTATGCTGAATATCATTGGATAACAGTGGTTGCAGATGATGCCGTTTTGATCAGAAATTTTATTATGAACCATTCGATGAGACTTTCAATGTTTAATGATTTCTCCCACTTGAAAATGTTAGCTGTTGCTGAAACTCGTTTTGCCTATGTAATAATCATATTGAGAAGATTCAAACAAATTAATAATGCTCTTCAATCTATGGTGATTAGTGAGAAGTGGTCTTGCTATCGAGAAGATGATGTTGGGAAGGCAAGGTATGTTAAAGAAAATGTCTTAGATGATTTGTGGTGGGATAATGTAGACTACATTTTGGTTTTTACTGATCCAATTTATGATATGTTGAGAGAGGCTAACACAGATAAATCATGCCTACATTTAATTTATGAGATGTGAGACTCTATGTTAGCAAAAGTGAAAGAAATTATATACAAACATGAAAGAAAGTCATATGATGAAGACTCAAATTTTTGGAGCATTGTCTATACTATTCTTGAAGATAGGTGGAGCAAAAGCAACACACCTTTGCATTGTTTGGCTCATTCATTAAATCAAAGGTATTTTTATATTCATCTTTTAAATTAATTTAAATTTGTTGGTAAATTAACAGATAATTTTATATGCTTTGTATTATTTGAAGGTATTCAAGTAAAGAATGACTTCAAGAAAACCCTCAACGTGTCTCACCACAAAAATATTTAGAAGTTTAAAATATGAGAAAGATATGCCTGAAAAGATATTTCCCAAATGAGGAGGATAGAAGAAAAATTAATAAAGAACTTATAAAGTTCTTTGGATATTTAGAGGATTTTGGTGATAAAAAATCTTTGGTTGATAGATGGAGGATGGATCCAAAAATGTGATGGTTGATTCATGGAGCTTCATCACCGCTTCTTCAAACAATAGTAATAAAACTTCTTGGTCAAGTATCATCCTCTTCATGTTATGAGAGAAATTGGAGCACATACTCATTTATTCAATCAATGCAGAGGAATAAAATAACTCCACATCGTGTTGAAGATTTAGTTTATGTGCATACAAATCTTCGTCTTCTATCAAGGAAAACCCCACTTTATATGACAGGTGATAACAAGATGTGGGATGTTGCTGGAGATGGGTTCGAGTGCCTTGATGATATGAGATTATTTGAGGTTGCAAATCTTTCTCTAGATTAACCAGAGCTGGAAGCAATTATATTCAATGATGATGATATTGAAGGCCAAAGACCAATATCTGAATCTAATTCTATCATTCCCTCTATTGAGTAGTTGGACCTTCATGTTGTACTAAATGATTTTTTGCTTATATTTTTATGGTTGTACTATACATTTTGTACCAAAACATATTTATGTTATAAGCTAAGCAAGTTATCATGAAATTGATTTATGATTGCTTGTCATTTTTACTATAATATCACCTTAATTTCTATATATTATATTAAAAAATTATCATGTCGTGTCCACGCCGCACCCGTGTTCTATATTTTTAAAAATTGTTATGTCCCGTGTCCGTGTCATGACGTGTCCGTGTCGCCGTGTCCATGTTGGTGCATCATAGGGTTTCCCCATTCAGAAGGGTTCACGGTGATTATGGTGGTGGTTGACCGATTGAGTAAGTATGCTCATTTCATCCCCCTCCGACACCCATACACAGCGGTGACAGTAGCTTCAACTTTCATCCGAGAGGGGGTTAGATTGCATGGAGTACCAGAGGAAATAATTTCATATAAAGATAAGGTGTTCCTCAACCATTTTAGGAGGGAGTTATTCAGATTACAAGGGACAATTCTAAAGAGGAGCACCGCCTATCACCCACAAACAGATGAACAAACATAAGTGGTCAATAGGAGCTTGGAGACCTACCTTAGATGCTTTGTGTCGTAGACACCCAGACTTTGGGTCAAGTGGCTATCATGGGCTGAGTACTGGTATAACACATCTTATCATTCTGCTTCTCAGATGACCCCATTCAAGGTGTTGTATGGAAGAGATCTACCTCACTTGATGCACTTTGGGAGTATCAGTACTCTAGTTTCTTTAGTGGAGGAGTACTTGGAGGAGAGGGATAGAATGTTAGAAGAGTTAAAGAAGCATCTGTTGAGAGCCCAACAGATTATGTTCATGAAGCTCCGACCATACAAGTAGAAGATAGTCGTCAATAGGAGGAACGAGAAGCTTGCCTCAAGGTACTTTGGACCTTATGAGATATTGGAGAAAATTGAAGCGGTAGCTTACCGCCTGAAATTACCACCGACGACGATGTCTATACATTCGATTTTTCATGTATCCCAGTTTAAAGGGACATTGGAGATTATACAGCCAGCTCTGAGTTACTAGTGACCAAGGTTTAAAATTGCGTAACTGCGCCTCGAGGCGGTTTTCGTCCGTGAGGCGAGGCGTAAGCCTCGACCTTTGTGGACTTCTCCTACAAGGCGGTCGGACACTTCAACTTCGCCGGAGAGAGGCGGCGCCGGCGGGAGAGGCTGCGGGAAGGTTGGCCGAACGGACGGGGGGTTCTGGATTTCGCGACCTGGAGCAAACGAGCGGAAAATGTCGGGATGAAGCCTTAGCCGATCGGGTGTGGGGGATTTAATGGAAAAATTTTAAGTAGGTGGGCCCTTTGGCTGAGGCGTACACCTCTCTCAAAATTGCGCAATTGCCTCTTATTGCGCAATTTTAAACAATGCTAGTGACACTTACCGATGATTTAGAGGTAATTTTAGACCCTTAGAGTTGATGGGGGTTCGCCAGAGGGAGGGTGGAGCTAAAGAAGTGTTGATCAAGTGGAAAAGCCTTTCGAACTACAAAATACCACATGGGAAGCTTATGAGAGGATGAAACATCAGTTTCCTTATTTTCACCTTGAGGACAAGGTGATTTTTTGGGAGGGGGTATTGTTACGGTTCTCCCTAGAACCGAACCAACCAAAGGGGCCCAAGAGGGGCTGGTTCAATTTTATAGGAGGCGGGCTAAACCGCCTCCCTAATGTCCGCCCAAGCATGGTGGGCCCCCCATTGGGTGGCAATTAGAAAGAGGAAGGGCTGCCGCCTAATGCTTAAGGAAGTAATTTGAAATTGGTTTATGCTAGGAAGCTTTTTATTAGGAATAATTGTATTTAAAGAATATGAGAGGCTAGGGTTAGGACATACATGTTTTGAGTTATTCTCTTGGAGTTCCTTGGCATCTTGGGCTCTAGACTCATCATCTAGAGATTGGGAGAGAACGATCCTCCTCTCGAATAGAGGATCGATTGTATCTTGCTTTGTGTTTGTTTTGTTTTGATTCCACTATTGCAATCTATCATTTTGGGTTGATTTCACCCATATTTTTGTGTTATTTTTGTTGTTTTGACCAATTATTGTTAGGGTTGCTTGCGAACTTAAGAACTTCCTTTTGGATTACTTGTGAACTCAAGTATTTTCTATCAGTTTCATTGCTTTGTTCAATGTATATGAAGGTGCTTGGGACATTCATCACTGAATGGGGGAAAGGCAGAGAGATCTGCAACACTTTACTAGCAACAACTGAGTCTGCAAGAACATATGCTGAACGGCTGGCTGAATTAGCTTATATGTTGGGGTTTGATGGCTGGCTGGTATTGCTTCTTGTCATGCCTATCTCTTGCATCTACTAACGTGCTTGTCTTGGTTTTGTGCAACTGCTCTTATTTCTTTGGAATAGTGATGAACTTGTTTTAATATCCCTACCAGATTGCTTAATTGTTCCCTCTTGTTGAACTGCAGTGTATGTTCAAACGTATTAGCGTTTTTCTAGTAGTTTAGTACTTAACACCTGCCCACTCACCCATACCCTCAAACAGGAATTAGATTTGCTTCTTTGCCTGCCAGTTTTTCTAGAAGTTTTTTATTTTTTAAGAATGAAATGTATGTTCATCCTTTATGCTTTGCTCCTAAATTAAAAAAATTTTAAAACTGGCAGCCTTAAAGAATTTTAATTGGAAGCGAGTAGAAATAGTCCAACCATAATTGTAGTCAGTTTATTCAGCTTGCTTGTAGTTCCATTTCTTGTTACTGAAATGTTAGAACTTTCAGCTAAACATGGAAGTTTCTTTACATCCACAACAAATCCCAATTTTGAAAGAATTTGTTGGCCATCTGACTCAAACTGTGCACAATGTTGTCCCTGGATCGCTAGTCATATGGTAACTCACTGATATCTACGTTCCCTTTTTTAATCTACAAATTCTCTCTTGTAATTATCACCTCTTCCTCATTTATTGCATCTCATATTTGGTCATGCAGGTATGACAGTGTAACTATGGATGGTAAACTCGACTATCAAAATCAGTTGAATGAAAAGAACAAGCCTTTTTTTGATTTGTGTGATGGTATATTTTGTAATTATCATTGGAAGGTTTGTATTTATTACTGTCTTTCTTAAAAGTTACCCTCCATTTGTTGTTCTTTCATTTTTTATGTTCTTCTCTGTATTGCAGGAAAATTATCCAAAAGATTCGGGTACTGTTGCAGGTAATCGCAGGTTTGATGTATATATGGGAATTGATGTTTGGGGCAGAGGTACATATGGTGGTGGGCAATGGAATGTAAGTAGCCTGTATAGCGTTCAGCCTCTTAAGAGGTAATTGCCTTAATGGGCAAATCGTCAAAACAAGTTCTATTGATGGCTAAGCTCCGCCTAAATGCGGAGATAGCTAGGATATCAACTTTGGTTGATGCAACACGAGTCTGATTTAACATTAACATAAATTGCAGCGAGAAACTTGAATTAACATGATAGAAGTTTCTGATTAACTGTTTTAAAACTGAGAAGTAATAGCACAGTGCAATGTGATTACTTCCAGACAAAATTGGTTGTGACTAGGCAACCTAAACTTTGGTCGCAGGGGAAAGGTACTAATTCTTGTAGTGAGTTAGGAAGGAGGGGCCTATATTGTTTTCCACTTCAACCCCTCTAAGCTGTTAACTTCCCCAAAAGCAGTTGAACAGAATAGAACAAGGGATTTGGTGGTACTAATTCTTCAAATTGTTCATGACACCTCTGAAATTCCCCTGCTCCCAATTCCATCAGTAAGTAGGAGGGATGCATTTGATTATCACATCTAAGAATCTTTTCTTCTTCTTTTTGGGTATGGCTTTATGGATGCTTTTTTGACATATGCTAGTGTTTTGTTTGCATCTCTTCAACATATCCATGGTGTTTAATCTTTTAACCTGCTGCTCCATGTGAGACATTTCTCAATATCATCTGAATTTTTGGTATGAGCTATATATAATTTAATATTTCGAACCCCATCATTATCTGGATTTGCTTTATGCCAACCATTTATTGGTTAACAAATTATGATTCATAATATGTTTCTTAGATAATTACTTGCACTTTTTGTTTGCTACTTGCATGGCAGACAGTTGTCAGCCTTGATGTATTGAAGAATGATGACGTTTCTGCTGCTATTTTTGGGCCAGGATGGGTGTACGAAACTCAACAACTCCCAGACTTCCAGACCGCACAAAATAGGTGATAGTAAAAGCCTTATTGCAAAAATTCATCTATTGCTGATTTTGTTCAATAATGAATATATCATTATTTTTTGGGATGCTTTAAAAAAATGTCATATGGTCTTGGAGACTTTGATTTAGAAGCAAATAGCTTCCTATCCTTTGACGTGTCACAAGTGCATGGCATCACCACTTACCTCCACTCTTAGCAATGCTCTATTACTTCCACTCATAGTTAGGCTCTTTAAAATCCCACATTACATCCTTGTTCTTTGGCTACACAAACTCCATTCTCTTGTTCACAGGCTCAGCGTCCTCTTTATCTTCGCTGTTCCACTTCATCTTATCCGATCTTTCATTCTACCTACATTTTCCCTCAGCTCTTCCATGATTTCCACTTGTCTCCTTCAACTTTATTCCTTTTTTTTGTGAGTTGTACAGGTGGTGGTGCCTTGTTGAGAAATCATGGGGAGTGCTACAAAGATATCCAAATATATTACCTTTTTATTCAAACTTCGATCAGGTGGAGTTTATATTCTCATTTGATGTTTTAATTGGTGGAAAGCAGATAATTAATTCATAAATTTGCAAGTCAGTGTGTATATATGTTTGTGCTATGTGGCCTTGCAATCGAAGTTCCACATCGATTATAGTATATAAGCTAGTTGTCTTAATTTAACACTTTTCTCTTCATGTAATACATTTGCCAATTATATTTTTAGGGTCATGGAACTCATTATTCTGTAGGAGGCTTCCCACTAGTTGATAGTTCCTGGAATAACATGTCTTGTCAAGGCTTTCAGGTACCCAACTATTTCATCTCAATTCCTCTAGTTAGTTGAACATCACCTTACATATCTAAATAGAAGTCATAAATGTTTTTATGCTTGTTCATTTCAGAGATGATGCCATTATCATTATTAGTACTTTGACTGCTAAAACTAACTTAAAAGCGGCCCATTTCTGATTTGTTGGTTGGTCTAAAATACCTAATTCTGATTACGGTGTTCACTTGCTTCCATTAATCGCAGCTTTTCAGAACAAAATCAAATAGTTGGGTAATTTTTGAAATGGTCATTGTTTTGTTTTTTCTTGGCTGTGCATGCATAACGCTTATTGAACCAGGACTTCACTCTTCGAAGTGCAACTTAACATACACTATGAATTCAAATGTTCCCACCTGATTATTTCGAGCCTCCTGGCCAATACGTGATACAATGTATATGGATAAATTTTTTACAGATAATTTTGACACATATAAAACTTTGTCTAAGGATAAGACGTTGAAGCGATGGATAAATCTTGATTTTTCTTGTGACAGTGCTAGCATGATTGGAAAAGTTACAATCAAGACCATGGTCAACATTTTGACTGCCTTGTCTATGGGAACTACAACCATTACTTGAGAGGAAAATGCTTTTGTTGAGGGGAAAATATTTTTTTATTAATTGAATATTTGTCTTAAATTGGCAAAACAATGAGAATATAGATGGAAGACAAAAAAGAGGTGAATATCTTAAATTATGAGAACATAATAAAACAATAAAAGCATATCTTACTATTCCAGTACTTTCTGTACTTTCTAATCTAGTGTTTGTTAAAGTAATTATAATCTTGACTAATTTTGTTATTTCTATTTAAACCATCTTATATATTAGTTGACAATGAGAGAGAATGTCTATCATCTTTAAAGCCTTGAACATGAAGAGGGAGCTCCATTTCAAAGTAGGCTCATCAAAAAATTTTTTTTTTTTGAATTTTATACTTTTGTTGAGAAGATAAATTAATTTTTATTTAAAGATTAAGAGGTTGTTTTTTGCTAAAAAAGGAATGTAGTGTAAATGAAATACAATGTATTTGAAATATTTGGAGTTTGGATGAACGTGAAATAAATGCATATGATTACTGTTTTTTTGGGGGCTTGAGGTAAAATGAATAATTTAAAACCCAAAGATGGTGATGGTCAGAGGTCTGCAAAACTCAGTGGGTGGCGGCTAGCTGCGGTGGCAAGCAGCTATGGGCGGCAAGACATAGTGGTTGCAACAGTTGTGGTGTCTGGCAGTGGCAATAATAGAGAATTTAGAGTGTATTTAAAAATTGGTCAAATTTAATGATTTCTAAATACACCAAGTAGATGTTGAATTTCAAATAATTTCAAATTTTATTCTACACTTCTTTTATTTTAGACCAAATACCAATATTTTGAAAACCTTGCATGTGGAATACTTTATACCTCTTTTACTTCAAATCAAATAGCTCCTAAAGCCTGAAAAAAAACCAAAGTTACATCTATTTAATTTATATAATTGATATAACTTGTATATATGCTCATGAAAGAAAGTATCCTATTTAAAAATTTTTGCGATCTACGAGGAGAAGCTTTATATCAAAATGACCCACTCTCCTAATTTTTTTTTTTAATATAAGCATATAAAGATTGCAATGAAAATGTCATCAATTGATTTGCATGAATATAAGGTATTCTGACATCTAAAATTTTGAAGGGGGTATTTTTTACTAAGATATAAAATCTTGAGGCATACAAGCTTATGCATGTTAAAAGCACAACTCGCACCAGGCTAATGATCAGATCTAATATTTGGAAATTTTCAAATATACAAGCAAGGAAAGAGCTTCATTTCAAACTAAGTTTAAGTTTAATTCAATATTGTAGTAATTGCATCTCATTTCATCAAAATTGTAATAAAACTTAATATGCTTCTTTCACATTCCTGTATCGTCAAATAAAAAATACATATTATTTAACAAATTATATGTATTATTTTATAATTACATTCTCATTTTCTTCTTCACTTACATTACACTGAGGCTTCGTTTGGGATGGCATTTTTAGTGCTTCTTAAAGTAGCTTTCTAATACAAAAATTAAAATTTTTATACTAAAAAACTACTTTAAGAAACAATAAAAAAGTCATCCCAAAGGAAGCATGAGTTACTAATTGCTCTTTTATATGTTGCACAGCCTGTCCTAGATTGCAAGGAGTCTTCCCAAAGTTCTATGCTAGTATTCAACAAGTAAGTTTTGACTTAATAACATTAAGTGAACGTCCATCTCAAATTTGCTTAAATTGAAGATTTTCCAGCAGTCGAATCTGGTAGTCTTTAATGTTTTCGGTGAGACATATTGGTGAATAACTAGAAAGTATTTTGATGGAATTACTGTTGACTTTAAATTATATCTGGTGCCTCCTGATTATGAATTGTCATTTTTAGAGTTTCGTAAGACCCCTGGATGACAAAGCCTCAGTCATATTATGGTCAACAATTAACTTTGGTGCTGCATCTACAGTGTTTATATTATGCAGGGAAGTGACTGCTTTTGAACAGTATATTTATGTGTTGTGGAATGCGTATTTGGTTTTTGCCATATTTGCTTTTAACTTTGCAAAACGCAGATATGGCAAAGTATCATTTCTTGTTCATATTCAATCTGACTTTTCCACTTATTGAGAATTCATTAGAAGCTGACAACCTTCCTGGATCTTTTGTTTAGCATTCACACACTGTTATTTTCAGAATCATGCTATCCATATTAAATTTGAGCCATGTCTTCTGTCTTTGTATTTATTTAATATTACCATTATTCCCTTTTTGTTTAGCTTGCAAAAAGTACAAAGTCTTTCCTTTCATTTATCTTATCTTTGTGAGAAATTTTTTTATGATAAATTTCTTGGATTAATGATTCATACAATTTTCAGTTTTGAGGATGCATCTTACATTGGAGGAGGGAGCATTACATGCAAAGGAAGCCTCAACATCAATGATATTTTCTCGACTAGGCTCTTTTTGGGGCAATTTACTTTGGAGCAATCAGTGTCCTTGAATTATTATGTGAGTACTTCTATTGAAAATGACTTGTTTTTTATTGTTTGAGTTTTAAATCTCTGGTTTCAACTGGAAAGATCACATTTGCAGTGTTTTGATATAAATGAGAAACTACTGGAAATGTGGAAAGCTTTAGTGTTCTTGGTGCTCCCAGATCAAGGACCGAGGTCATAGCCCAAAGCCACCAAGAGAACTCCAAGAGAAAACAATAATCATGCATGCCCTAACCTTAACCTCTCCTCATCTTTGAATACATATCTTTCTAATAAGAAGCTTCCTAAAATAAACCTAATTCAAAATAGCCTCCAATGCTTTAGTCGCCCCCCTCTTCCCTCTCTATTTGCCGCCCTAGAGGGGTCCACATGCTTGGCAGGATTGATTAAGGAGGTGGCTTGGGCCGGTTTGGTCGATTTCAGGGGGGAGAACCGTAACATGTTCTTGGTGCTTCCAGACCAAGGACCGAGGTCATACTTGACTAGTCTTCCCTTCACTGGTTTTGCCTACACCCTTCAGATTAATGAACTGGAAATTCTTTTGTAAGAGAAAGAAAGCAAACCAAATATGAGAAATGAATTCTAACTTGGGCAACAAATTTATCTCTTGTATATTTGTCATTTTATCTTCAATATGTATTAAATTTCATGTTATTTCCACAATTTTGGATAATCATCTTTTTACACAACAAAATGAATACGTAACAGCGTACAATACCTAACTCATTAACTTATAGTTAAAATACTTGCTATAATTTGATTCTCCACCAGTTTGAGGACAGAACCCTGAAACCTTGATGAAAGTAATTTGAAAGAAGAATTCAAACAAAGTTTCATGACTACCAAGCTAGTAATATCAACTCCATCCCTCCATTGTGGTGAACTTACTCTACCTTTATGTAGGTAAAATCTGATGGGAACTCCCAGATGGGACTTAAGCTTTCATTCTCTTCAAATCTGAACCAGATAACACAAGTCCTCCTCCTGCCAGAAGCTGAGCTTCCCATGGACCATCTGACAAGCAAATATGATAGAATCATTTTCGCACCGAGATGTTCTCGGCAAGACCTTTTCTTAGGATCAGATTGGGTCCAATATGAATCAAGCCTCACCATGTATGGCTACACATTGACTGAAGTTGGTCTTCTCTGCTACTTCAAGAAGCCAGTTGATGATGAGCCAACTTTTAATGCTTCAATTGGTCTCATCCGTTTGCAGATTTCTGAACAAAGCATTGAATTCCCATCAGCTAACTCATGGATTACTGAAGGTGAAAACATCTCATGGTCCTCAAACAATGAAGGACTTAGAACCGTAAGCCTTAAAATTAACTGGAAACTGAAGGAAGGTACATCAAAAGCATTTGAGGCATACAACATCTATGTTCAGAAAGTATCCAATGGCTTAAACAGAAGTGATTATGGCACAGCTAGTACTGCAGAGTTTCTTGCTACTACTAAAGCTGGAGTATATTATATATCAGCTTTTGAAGTTCCGATTGGTGTTACTGATCTCATTTTTGTTATTCAGGTATTTGCAGTTGATGGGACTTTCCAGGAACTTGATCAATCTCCTAGATACCAATTGGCTGTTGGAGGTCAGTAAAGTAGCTATTTGATTAGCTTTTTGATAATTGAACTGGATGAAGAACTCAACTGTTTCTTCTTAGCAATTTCTTTTCACACCAATAAATTTTCATTGTATGCATTTTAGAGATGGCTATAATTCTGCACATGTTAGTGACCAAAATGAGATTATGTTGACTTGATGGTTTGATGGTAAGATTTTATTTAGAGGTTGATTGGCTTGAAATTAAAGGTTTGTAAAATATTCTAAATGCAGGGGTTTTGAATTTGTTGATATTTATTCTGAAGTAAAATAAATGTTGAGGAAAATTTTAAAGTATTTGAAGTCCACGTTTTAGTTCAATTTATGTGTATTTGGAGTTTAATAGATTTGGGTTATTTTCAAGTACAATGAAAATTCTTTGTTATTACGGTCACAAGCTGTCGCTCGCCAGCCATCATTGTCACCACTCGCTGCTTGTCGCCAATCACCACCCACTGCAGACATCACTTGTCATCATCATCACTGTCAACCCATCGTTACCATTGTTGTCTGCCATCTTCACTGTTGCAGCCCACTAGTGTTAATCATTAGTCATCATTATCATTAAACTTTAAACTGCATTTATGAAGCAAAAAAAAAAAGTCAGATGCATTTAGTTTATAAATTTAAATTTTAAATGTCATGTATTTCTTTTTCATCCAACCGAACGGCATCTTAATGTGTGTGCGGCACTTACAGATGCTTGCAAGTTCTCAAATTTGGTAAAACATTGTTTTATCATCCTCATTCATAAGGAATTGAATTCTAACTCACTATTTTATTCCAATCAATTTCCCTTTATAGTTCCTTTTATTAGTTTATTGCAAAGCTGTTAGCTAATAGAATCAAGCTTTTGTTTTCAAGGATTATTAACCTTGCTCAAGTTGCCTTTTTTTTTCATCATAAAAAATTTCAATTGCAAACAATTTTTGAAGCTCTTTTGTGCTAAGATTGATTTGGAGAAGCCTCTGTCAGTGTTGATAGAAATTTATATTATTTAAGACTATTTTTATTTTTTTTTCGAGCTTTTTTCATTTTTATATCGAGTATATTAGCGGCCTCAGCTAATACTATAAAGAGATGAATTATTTCGTCAATGTTCACATATTATTCTTTTTTATTTTTCATTTGTTCATCATATCATACATAAAGTTCACTGGTTGGTAGATGAGTCACGACTATATCCTTATAAGTCTAGTCTCCTTCTGACTAAACTAAAGGTCCTCAACGTTGTTGTGCTTCGAACTACCATCAAACAAACTTTCAGACCGGATCTACAGGGAGATATATATATAGTCACTCTCCTCTGACGTAATAGGGTAACAATTTTATTTGCGTCTAGCACCTTTTTCAAAATCCAGATCACTTCAACATGTTAGAGCTAGACGCTTCTCGAAGCCGTCACACAATTATGCAACTCATGCTTTTAAAATTTGTATGTGTATGAAGTTTCAATATGATGCATTTAACATTTAACATTTACAATAATATGAAGGTACTTATGTTAAGTAAAAGAAAGTATACATTTAATCATTTTTTAATAATAATTTGTATTAACATTATTAAGTGTATATATAAAAATGTTATATTAGTCAATACATTAAATTTGAGAAAAGAACTATAATTATTATGAGATAGAATATATATTGCATACTTTTAAAAAAAAAAACTTATAAAGAAAGGGATGCGAGTATATTTTCTACTTGTACTATGAATTCAATCTATGTGGTGAAGAATTATTTGGAGTTGTCATCTTTAACAATTTGTTTGCCACTTGGTGCAATTCTTGCTATGACTCCCTTTGGCATATTATTTTTACTTTATAAATATTGTGCATTAGTTAAACTTTGATTTAGTTTGGGACGACTTTCTTATTGCTTCTTAAAATAGCTTTGTAGTATAAAAATTAACATTTTTATTCTAGAAAATTGATTTAAGAAGCAGTACGAAAGTTGTTCCAAACAAAGCCTTTATTGACATGCCATACCTCTACATCTCATT